TTTAGAATTATCAAATACAAATTGACAAAATGATAATTTTCAAAATAACTGAAAAATAGTTAATAACAATAATGTAATGATTGTAATGTTAATTTTTTATTTCACAGTAATATGTAGGTACTTTTGAACTTTAAACTCTAAAGTACAGTGAAAGAAAACTTTTTTAATTGTATAATTGCACATACATTATACAATTATATAGTTTTAATATGTTAATATTATCTGCAAGATAAAATAAGCTCTCGTTTCTTAAAGGCAACAAATTATAATAATATTATCAGCAAAATAAAGTAAATCACATTTTTACAAATTTTCCATAAACAACAAGTTATTTTTTGGTATTTTGAATTTGCACAACAATGTATATGTTTTGAAAGTTTGTGCTTTAAATACATCAAAGATGAACTCTTCCACAGAGTAAATCTATAACTATGTGTACTTGTAAGCAAAGTATTCAGTTACATTCAAAAATTTTGAAATTAGCAATGTCTCCCAGAGGCTCAGTGGTTAGCCTGAAGGCTTACAATGCTAAAAGTTATAATTTTCCTAAATTGAAAATTTATTTCCTATATGTTCCTCACAAAATAGCTATTCTCGTTCAGTACTGCCCTCTATATGCAAAAAAATATTTTCACATGGCACAAGCCTTGAGCTCCCATGTACCCCACAATCAACTTGGTTCAACTGCATCTCGCATGTAAATTATCATGTGACAACCCTCCACCAGTAACAGCATGACACCCTCCTGATGCATGTGATTCCCTCTGTTTGATTCTACCAAACTATCACTTCGAGTTTTGGCAGAAAAAATGAAGCACCAGTTTTCACTGGGGAGGAAGGGTGAGAAGAAGTAAGTATCTATCGGAAATACATTTTCAGTATTGGAAAATTATAACTTCCAATAAATTTCATTAATCCTCTCACATAGCTAGAATCCCACATTCAATAAGTGGATGGACTGGTGCAAGGTAAAGAATGAAGCATCTGAAGAACATCCTAAAAGGGGGGATCCTCACAGTAGAGGATAATATGTGGGAGACTGTACCGATCCTGTACCAGGTATATTCTACACCCAGTGTGGAAAGAGGGAGAAGCATATTTAAAAGGGACAGAACAATGGTTGGAAAGGGATCTGAACCACCTGATACCTGAATCTCAATCTTATAGATGACAGTAACGTGGGTGAGAATAAAAAGAATGTGCCCCAAGGAAAAAGTGCATTCAAAACCCAGCCACCAAGAACCAATATCCATGTGGGGGTATGAAAGAGGATCATACTGATGGAAAGTTAACTGTGTGTATCATATATCACTATCACATTCAGGAGGATGCCTCCATAGTCAACCACCCCAGTAGCTTGGTGGGGGTAGGAAAGAGGATCATATTGTCTTTACCTAAAGTTCAGCAGACTAGAGGGAAGTATCATACCCACTAATCTGTGAGCAGAACACATGATAGCAAAGCAATAAATTGTTTCACTGATCCAGGAATCTGACATCCGGGTGATTGGAATAATAAAGATGTCCCACTCAAAACCAATCAAACATGAGCCACCCCCAGCACAATAATAATTTCGGTACATGAAAATCTTCGAGGGATAGCACAAGAAGAAGAACTGTAACCTGCATGATCGTCCACCATGACCCACAACACAGTAGCAGTGAACATGAGTCCAACTGAGTGAGGGAACAAAGACACCTGTAATACATGTGTGAGGACTTATGTTTATTGGTCCAGCTCTGAATGCAAAACCCAACCACATGTAGATGTGCATTGTTGTGGAGAAGAACAACACCTTTCTGATTGATGAGTGAAGGGCGTTTATGATTAAGGGCTTGATTTAAACATTCCAGTTGCTGACTATAGATCTCTGCATCGAGGAGTTTGAAATGAATTACTCCTTTGATGTCTCACCAAGTGCAAAGCATCACTTTCTGCGGATGGAGTCCAGGTTTTGAGGTCGGAAGTGGTTTTTTGTCTATGACTGAGCCATTGTTTTTGGCATTTAATATTTGCATAGAGAATCCATTTTTTATCACTGGTGACAATTCTGTCCAAAAATTGTTCACGCACATTACACACTAGAAGAGATGAAGCAACATTCACAAAAACACCCTCATGGAGTTTTCCCATATTTCTTAGATGTTTACATATTGTTTCATGAGAAACATGCAATTTCAGGGCCATTTCATGAGTGTGTTGCTTTGGGTTAGACTCCACAAGCATTTTCAGAATCAATATAAATTCCAACATGTCAACCCCTGCTTTCACAGTTTTTAAGGCTAAAGTCACCTGAATGAAATTTGCTGAACCATCGTCGACACTTATGAACGTTAAAAACATTTCTATATTCTTTGTGGCTAGAGAGGCATTGTTTCCCTTCTTGTATTAAAACAGCATTATATGCCAATTGTGTGTCTCATTGTGTGCCATCACTATAAGGGATTAGAGTATACTAAAATTTACACATTAATTTCTTGACGACCTAATATATATTTCTACAATTATGAATATTTAAAATAATCTTGTTAACATTTAAAATATAAATTATTAAATAGTAAATATAGATTTACGTACAATGATTAATGTATTTATTTATAACAAACATTTATAATTTTCTAAAGCAAAACATGATTCACACTTGTGGATCATAAATTGTATCATAAAAGTTTTCTTAAATTTTCAATTTGAATTTTGAAAAATTCATTATGAAGGCTATATTGCAATCACGGTCTATTCATACATAACCAATCACAGAGTTTGTTTTTAAAATATTATTTTATACTATATCCTTTATATAAAGGCTAGAAGAAAAAATTTATGTTGTTTTTGTATTTCGTTACATTCACAAAATAAAACTTCAAAAATTCTTATAGTGCATTTATTTATTCATTTATTGATTTTACTATTGTTCATTGAAAATCTTAGAATCTATAGCGAATCTTCAGATATGATTATAATTTATTATTTAAACCAACTAAAGCTTTGTACTTTCAGTTATTGTTCATGTTTTAGTGGAATGTTCATGAACAAACTGTAAAGCAAAATGTTGATGTCCAAAATTAAAGAAAAATAACAAACTTGTGTTATAAAGTCATTTATTACTAGTATTAAAATGTCTTTTATACACCAACAGGCACTAAAGAAATTAAATAATGAGCATAAAAAGTAGTTTGTAATTAGTATCTAGAGGTATAAAAAATTTGTAGCTAATTAATAAGTAGATTTAGGTTAATGTAAGTTTCTACTCATGACACTGAAATTTAATAGTATCTTAACACAAAGTTTGTGTTACCAAAATTATAGTAATAGTAAGATAACAGCAAGTCTTGAAACATGATGTCACATTTCATTTATATATTTTGCTTAGAAACAAACAAAAAATCAAGTAGTTTTTGCTAATTACATTACACAATCAAAATTAAAACAACAAAATGCTTATGAATTTATAATGATTTTTCTAGGAATTCTTTAAAAATGAAAATCAGTTTTTAGTTTTTTAAATAACAGTACTGTATAAAGAGTAGATATTATTAGTAATGAACATCATATATATTACCTGTACATCATCTGAATGACTTGAGAAGGTATGGGAGTTTCGAGACACTTCATGGGTAAAACATCTGTCTTCTGTATTTAGACTACTTGTGGTTTTTGGAAAACAAATTTCTTTCTCAGGAGGTCCTACCTCCCTACTAGGAACCTGAGTGGTGGTAACTGTGTTCACAGTAGACATCACTATACTTGATGATTCGGTCATGGGCTGCCTACCTTCCTGAATCCCAGGCTGTAAGATTTAGCTTGTGTTTTCATAAATGTTTACCCGTGTAACTTTACAGAGAACCTTTGATATATACCAAAATATACTTTGATCATCAGCTACATATCTTTTATCATACTTATGGTAATTGGTATTAGAGTGGAAAGATTAATTACTTAATTTGCAGGACCATAGTGATTTTAGTTTAGTTTAGTTTTTATATAATCTCTTGTACAAGAACTGTAAAACATAAACATACAATATAGAAACTGTTAAATGATCACAGAAATTCTCAGTAGTAATGTAGCTGTTCATTTGATGTAAGTACAGATGGTGTCCAGATTACCTACAATGTAACAAAAATGGAAATATTAAGCTTTCACAAAGCTAATTTATAATTATGGAAATGTAATGTTATCTATCTAGTGTATGCTTTAACTTTGTAATTTTACTTGAATTACTGAAAAGCAATACATTAAAAACTACTCTAGTCACACTATAAAATCCAAACAAACATTTAAATAATAATAAATAAACTTTTTCTATAGTACTGCTTAATCACTCGGTGTGAAAAATCTGAAATACATTTATGGTTCACACCGACAAAAATTATACAAATCTCTCTCTATTTTTCTATATATGTATGTGTATATATATATATATATAAGTGTGTGTTCAAACAGAAATGGGATTTTATTTCCTGTAAACCAATCATATCAAATATAACCAAGCATGAACAACAACAACAATGATGATGTTATGTAGGTAGCCAGACATCACTTCTCAACATAGTCCCTTCCCAGTTAAGCATAAAATATTTTTTCTATTATTCCATGAGCATTATCATACCAGTTTGGTAAATGTTTAGATGTTGTATAATGAATCCAATTTCTTCCAACTGCTTTAATATCATCAGTTGTTTAAATATGTTGTTAACACATACCATCCTTGATAGGTACAAAAAGATGGAAGCCATAAAGTGATGGGTTAGGAATTTTTCAATTCCACTCATTACATGATAAATGCAGCATGTTGTTCAAACTAATGCCATTTGCAACTGTCATTTTATTATTATGATAAATACCATCTACTATATATAAATAAAACTTTCAAGGTGACTAACAGCAGTTGTATATTGATCTATTAACATGATCTTTGAAACCTTGAATTTACTCATATTTAAAATTACAGAAGAAAATCCCACTTCTTTGTGAACATCTCTCATATAAGCAAGAATATTCTTATTGACTGAACTTGCAAAGAGATTTATTATTATATATGAAAAATACTGTGCAATTATTTGTTTGTGTGTGTGTATATAAGACAAACTAAGTTATATTACAAATTTGCAAAGTTATGTGAAGCAGACTCTTGATTACTTTAAATTGCTGTGACAAACATTTTTGACCATAAGAAAAATAAATTCATTTTCTTCAAAACTCTTAATACAGATACGTGACTATCTTTTGGAAAACAAGAGTTTACTGTTGATTCTTCATAATGTGTACTGCCTGAGTGAAAAAGGCCTTTTAAAAATGTGGCTATTTTATAAGTGGGGTTCACTACACAGCCTTTGTAAAGTGTGCTATAGATCCCAAGTAATGAAAACTGTGGCTAATTTAAAAGTAGATTTTACTATAAACTGCTTATAATTTATGCAGCTCAAATTAAATATCCTATCCCCCCTATGCATGAAATATAGCTTAAACAATTGCATAGCTGTTCACATACAATCCACAAACGAATGAAAAGTCAACAAATCATCATTCTATTCTAACACTGCATGGGGAGCTAGACTTAAATTAGCATAAATATGTACATTTTATTATAGCAAAGTACTGTACTATCTACATGCAGAATAGTTATTAATTGTTAGATTATATTACTAATTTAAACAACTCTGTGCATGCGACTATTTCAAACTAAAAATGTTAATACTTCATCAGTAGAATGTAGACTATGTAGAAAATGTTAAATACCATAAGCAGCTGTGCTATAACTATATAAGCACAATATTTTTACATTTTTATACACAAAAATAGGGGGTTCAGCTGAACTCCCTCAACCCTCCTGTGTAGGTACGTGTGTGCCTATGTAGACTCATCATTACTTCAGAAGTAGAAATCATTACAGATACTTTAAACTATCTGTAATCAAGAGTCTACTAAAAGGGATAAATTTACTGAAAGTAATGATATAGGTACTTACTTCTTAAAAAATTCAAAAATTACTGAACACAAAACATTATTTTTAAGAACAAATAATGTAAAATCCAACTACCAATATTCATACAGATATAAGGGAAAAAGACAAAGATGGCTTAAGCAAGTTTACAGGGAAGTATTCTTCTCAAAAGAGTGGGCATATAAACATAGAAGTATCTATCATAACAGACATTCAACTGAAAAAGGTAGAGCAAAAAGTCCAGCTATCAACAATTTCCTAATGTTCTTGCACTCAGCAAAGCATTTTTGTTGTATCTGTTGTGTTGAATTGTTTATGTGAAGATCAATTACTTTTATTTAGTGCACTGAAGTATAAATTGTTTCTGTAATCACCTAGAACTTTTCAATCGTATATTACATAGAACCAGGATATGAAGAAAACAATGCTGTAACTAGGGTAATTAAAGCCAAAACAATTACCAAAATCTCCATTTCTTGTTGTGCCAAGTTGTCTTTGTGCATTATCATATACAACAATAATAAATGAAGTGCTAATACTGAAATACCATGTTTTGAAATGTCTTGCATATAATTTTTCTCATCAAATCCAAACTTACAAAATAAATTTTCCTTTGGTTTGAAATGGACTAATCATATAATAACATGCAACTTATATACACCTACTACTAAGAAAATTAAATTAGATTATATTTCTGAATTTAGTTTTATTATTCCATACAGTCTTTCCTCATTACTGATTCATTCGAAGATTAGTAGCATAAGGTACATTCAAATGTTTTTATGATCAAATTTTATCACAATATATATATATAATTTATAACAATAAATATTCAAGTACATGGTAAGAAAATGGAAGCAAGTGGCTGACAACACACAAATTGGGTAAGCAAATTTCATTTTTCAAGTTAAATCAGGTTTTTGTTATTTTTATTGCCAAATTCACAATTTAGATAGATGACCATACTAGTGTTCAAAACGTTGTACTTATTCCAATATATATAAAACTTTTCCAACTATCTAACATAAGCTGTCAATAAATTTGAATATTACTATTTGGTGGGAAAATTTATCTTTTTATTACTAATATTTATTTAGATAGATGAGTCTAAAGCTATTTTTTTTGTAATGTATGCTGTGTGTGTAAGGAAATGAAAACCTAATGTATACAAAGTAAAATAGTGAAATAATTAAGTACAATCAACATTCAGGGAAAAATGACATACACAAATGCAGCTGCTAAAAGAAAAAAAAAAAGAGAACAAAGCCATAGTTCTAAGAATGTTCAACATACATATAACACACATGGATATAAGGTAGTATACAAAAAAAAAATATATATATATATATATACAAGAGAAATAACAATAAAACAAAACAAGAAAAACCTTTAGTAAGATAGCTGGTTCCACACTGGAGAAAGTGGCAGGGCCTACACCCACTACAACTGGCTTAGTAGCTGCATAATCCCTCACACCATGTGTTGAAGGCTCAATGGTCTCCTCTACCTCTTCAGTAGTTCCATCAGGCTTGGTTATCACTCTTTTTCTAGAAACTTTAGCATAGCAAGGGCCACCAGTAATAGATTTTTCTACCATTTGTGATGGAACATTACTAGACTTCTTTTCAGGGTAGAATGGTTCTCTACAATATTCTTCCATGCTGCTGTCAGATGATTCATTTTCCTCTGATGAAGAGGATGATTCAGAACTTGGAGAATTATGTCCACCTTTTACTAAAGGCACATTAGATTGCTGACTTTTAGCTGCTGTGACCAGTACTGGGTTGAGGTTCTTCTTCAAAGGGCTTTTTTTTGTTGTTGCTTCTATGTCCTTTCTACTGGGTGGAGGTTCTTTCTGTGGGCTACCACTTCCACTAACTGGCACAAACAATGGTTTGTCTACTCTTATCTTAACTTCTGCCTTGTCTTCATTTTCCTGGGTAGAACCTTTGCATGTGTTCTTCTTGTTTTCAGAAATGGGTGACCTTAACTTGTTATTTGGCTCTTGCTGCAATTCTGGTGGATTATAAGTAAAAGCAATACCTGTGACTTGTATGGTACCAGGAGACAAGTCTTCATGTCTTGTGACTGGAGATACATCACCAGAATTTTTACCAGTGTATGAAAATCCATATTCTTTAGGACTGTAAGCCCCTTTATCAGTCTGTTCTGGATCTTCTGAAACACTGTAAATGTATTCCTTGGTAAAAGGAGTATCCCCTTTGCCAATAAACATAGATCTTGGTTTTTGGCCATGTTTTTCTTCTGGCTCATCTTCTTCAGTTGCAAGAGCTAACGGGGCAGAAACTCGTGGTGTGCTTGTAACTAAAACTCCACTCCCCTCCTTAGACCATTCACTTGACTTGTCTGACACTGTCTCCTGATATTTAGAAGCTGGGGTAACTGGTGGTTTAATCACAAACTCATCTCTAGCAGCTTTTGGTTTATCCACCTACAATAAGTTCCACAGCCCAAATACTTAGTGTAAATTGGTAAGTCATTGAGAAGTTATTAAATCAAAGGATTTTGTACACCAAGGCATCATGCACAGGAAATGAAATTGCATGCAATATAAACAAATATTTATAAAAAATTAGAACTTCTATATTGTTTTTAATTACAATTGTGGCTTTGGTGCTAGAAAATGCATCTTAGAAACTCAAAAAGAGTCAGAAGATAAACAATAAACAAACATTGAACAGGATCAATAAAACAAAATTGAAAAGCAAAACTCAACACCTTTGGATATACATATATTTAGAGTGTCTATTAACAATGTAACAAAACATTATGTATAAACCTAGGTTCAAGTATTCAATAACAAAAGCAAATAATTATTAACACAGAACATAAACAGTGTCACTATTATTATTTCTAATTTTAGTATTAAAACCAGCCAATTTAAAGTCATTAATGCATTCATGTTTAATTGATGTGTATATTTTACTTTTATTATCCCTTATGCCATAAAATTATTACTTTTGGCTAAATTTGAAAATCCAATCCAGAAGACTAGTGCAATAAAGTTTAAAATTAGAAACAGGACCAACATTTAAAATATACAATAAAAATTTATTTGATGCATTAAAAGACCCCACGTTTCAGGAGTAAAAACATACATGACAAGCAAGTATCTTTATTGGGAAAAGATTTAATTTATTGTAATTTTTAAGGGTGGTATCAATATTATAGGTAAGAAATCCAAATTTCTTTTCAAAATTGTGTGTTATCACCAGTTATCCCTTCATGTAGATTTAGCAAAGAATTATTTAATTTACAGCACAAAATTTCTATTGATTCTTTAATATTCAATTCACTTTGAGTGTTAAGTTCGTTTAAAACTATTGTTTCATGCCATTGTATGGAATGACCTGTTTTGACAGTATGTTAAGCAAATGGTGAAATTAGTATGTTTTTATTATGTACATAACCTTTGTTTCTTAAGATATTTTAAATTATATTTAGTTCGACCAATAAATTCTTTATTTTACTATCCATAATTCATTCAACATTAGGTTCAATACTAGTGACCACATCTTTTATGGGTAGAATTTATGGAATTTCTGCAAAATTAAAACCTAAACTGATATATTAATTGGCCCGGCATGGCCCGGTGGATAAGTCACTCGTCTCGCAATCCGAGGGTCGCGGGTTCGCATTCTTGTTGCACCAAACATGCCCACTTGGGCGTGGGGCTAGCAACTCCACCCCGATAACAATTTGCTAAAGAAACTGCAACAAAAAACACTTCCGTTGGCGAAGTGTTGTTGTAGCCCTATATTCCACTAGGAACAACAGGAACAAAGAAGAAGAAGAGAAGAAGAAGAATATATTAATTTGCATGTCAGTAAGTCTGACATCAGACTTATTAATAACTATAAGGTTGCATAGTTGGAGCACTTCCGAAGTTAGCTCTTTCTTAGGTGTACATAAAGATTAAAATTTAATATCTAATTACTTATTGTATTGTTCATTTTCTTTTCTAATTATGTTCCAACAGAAATGTTCAAGATATTCTCTAAACTGCTGCAGAGACAATTTCTACAGACAGTAACTTTTAGTTTGGATATTTCACTTCTTTCTCTTGTATTTTGATCTTTAATAAACTTTATTTATTACAAGTTACAGCTTTTACAGTAAGAAAGACTATTTTTTAGAATGGGTATGATGTTTCCATTAGGGGTGTGATCATTCTTAAGTACACAAGTTTTAATGCTAAAGAAGGTTTTAGTATTTAAATTTTAGAATTGATAGTGGTTACTTATGCATGAGCATATCAATCATTAGGAATGTCTGGGGAAATAACGAACAAACACATATAGAAATGTGCTTGAGTATTTGTTAATTGTGGGGTTGTTTGATTTTATTAATAAGGTTTCTCTGATTTTTCTTCTGTTAAGAAAAATTGTAGTTGGTTTTGATCATATGTTCATGGTCTCAGGAAGAGTTTTTTGTGTTCTTTTAACCTGATCTTCAAGTTGTGTCCTGTTTCACCTGTGTAAAAGGCTGGGCAATTGTTACAATTTATTTTGTAAATGTTTTTTGGTGGGGTGCATTCATTATATAATTTTCATTCTATGGGTGAAAATGAATCTAGGGGTGATATTCAGGTTTTATTTATGTGCTAGTCTTTTCCAAGTTTCTGATAGAAATGCCTTATGCCCAATTATGTCTTCTTATAATTCTTTAAATTACAACCTTGGCAAATACTTCAGCTGGATTTTGGAATCTTATGTTTCCAAAATAAGCACCCAATTAAAAAACACTTCCTACAACACTTACATAGTTTAAACAGTAATGTCATTACATCTAGCTTCGATCTTGTAAACCTACTCCATCAAATCCCTTGTTATGAGGCAATACATCTTACTGCAGAAATTATTTCACAAGACCCCAAAAAGAGAATCAACATAAAACAGGAACACCTAATCAAACTATTACAACTAGCCATGTTTATTTGCTTTCAATACAGAGATTCATACTACCTTCAGTTACATGGACTTGCCATGGGAAATCCATTATCAGGTACTTTGGCTTCTCTTCTCTTACATCACATAGAACAACATGCCATAGTTCACTTCTTTATATAAGCCTGCATTTTGGCTTAGAAAGTAGATCACATTTCTTACAGCTTTACTTGTCAAGATGAACAAACAAAATACCTTCAACACATAAACAACCTACACAAAGACATACAATTCACAGTTGCAAATGAAAATAATTACACAAAAATTATTTATTTGTTAACATCACATGACCCCCCCCCCCAAGGATTCAACACTAAAGTTTATAGAAAACACACATGCAGCAAAAATGACAAACTGGTTTTCTAAACATTTGATCCACCAGAAGCTAGGTACTCTAAAAAGCCTCCTAAATTTAGCATATACTATATGCACCACAGAAAATATTAATGAACAAGCAGCACACTTAAATCAATGCTTTACTAACATAAACCAGTTCCCTACTAAAGTAGTTACAGAAACCACTAACAAATCGAAAAAACACAGACAACAGACACTTAATAAACTCATAACCACTCCAAAAAACAAAGATACCTAATCATCTGTACTATTCATATACAGAAAATACTAGCATATCTCTATCAGAAATTTGGAAAAGACCAGCACATAAATATAACCTCAACATCACACCTAGATAAATTTTCACTCCCTGGAATGAAAATTAAACACCTGTTAAGAAAATTATGTAACATTAGCACCTCACCAGGAAACGTTTACAAAATAACGAGTAACAACTGCTCAATCTTTTACATTGCTGAAACAGGATGTAACTGGTTAAAAGAACACAAAAACCCAATTCCCAAGACCATGAACATATGAACCATAGTTTCTCTGAACAGGAGAAATATCAGAGAAACCTTATTAATAAAATTAAACAATCCACAATTAACAAATACGTAAGCACATCTCTATATGTGTTTGATCATTATTTCCTATACGTTTCTAATCTTATGCAAATATTTTGCATAACACATGCCATTTTCCCATATTTATTCACTTTTGTTTGTTTCTTCTGCTCAGCCATAAATAAATAATCTGTCAATTCATGTGGATTGATATGCACCTACATAAGTAATCACCATTAATTCTAAAATTTAAATACAATGTTAGACTGTTGAATGTTGATTTAAATATTAAAACTTTCTTTACCATTAAAACTTGTTTACTTGAAAATGATCACATCAGTGATCAAAATGTTGTACCCATTCTAAAAAATACTCTTCCTTACAGTAAAAGCTGTAACTTGTAATGAAATAATACTTATTATCAGTAAGCAAACTAAAAACAAAACTTTAATAATTTTTAACTTAATTTTTTTTTTGGAATGAAAGTTGCACATCTTCCTTTTGCTTACATGTGATATTGATGAATTTTATTGAAATAGAATTGAAAATAAAAAATACAATAAACAACTGGACATTTAGCTTAAATCTTTATGTAAGCCTAAGAAAGAGCAAACTTCTGAAGTACTACTACTGTGTAACCTAAAAGTTTTTAATAAGTCCGATGTCAATCTTACTGACATGCAATTAAGGTATTGAACTTAGGTTTTGATTTTGCAGTAACTTCACAAATTCTACCTTTAAAAGATGTGGTAACTAGTATTGAATTTAACATTGAATGAATTATAGATAGTAAAATAAATAATTTATTGGTCGAAGAAATATAATTTAAAATGTCTTAAGATACAAAGGTTATTATGTACATGATAAAAAAGATGCTAATTTCTTCACTTCCTGAACATGCTGTCAAAACGTGTCATTCGATACAATAGCATGAAACAATAGTTTTAAGTGAACTTAACACTCAAAGTGAATTGAATATTAAAAAATCAATAGAAATTTTGTTCTGTATATTAAATAATTCTTTGCTAAATCTACATGAAGGGATAGTTGGTGATAATGAAGTTTTGGAAAGAAATTTTGGATTTATTGCATATAATATTCATACCACCATTAAAAATTAAAATAAGTTAAACCTTTTCCCTATAAAACTATATACATATAGCTACTGAAACATGATGTTTTTTAATAATATTTTAATAATAGATAGTAAAATTAAAATTATTATTAAATATCATTGCCAGGATATAATGTTGAAACAAAATATTAAAGTTGAGAATAATTTGACAAAAGAAGAAAAAAAAAGCTTTATAGTCTTTAAATTATAAAAGTAATAATGTTTTTACACAAACTGACAAAGGTGTGTGCATAGAGGTGATGAATAAATGTGATTATATTTCTAGTGTAGATTTATTATTAAATGATGGTTTACATATTTCTTTTAGAAGAGACCAAACAACAGTTTTATAACTTGATAAAAAAAAAAAATAGTTGATCAATGTATAACTTTGTCTTCTGAACATGAACAAAAAAATCTTATTCCTTCCCATTTTTGCCACCCTGCTTTTATGCTTTATCTGAGATTC